TATTATTATCTAGAACTGTGCTTGGCCTTAATAGGTATTAATACATATTTTAATTTATTGATAAATTAAATATTGTAGATTTCTCTTCTCACAGAAATCATGTCAGATTAATATATTGAAATAGCAGGCCAAATGCAGTGGCTCACGGCTGTAATCTCTGCACTCTGGGAGGCCAAGGCAGGCGGATCACGAGGTTGGGAGTTCGAGAACAGCCTGGCCGACCTGTGAAATCCCGTTTCTACTAAAAATACAAAAATTAACCGGGCATGGTGGCACACACCTGTAATAGTATGTGGTAGAGAAGTGATTACTGATTTAAATAAAAATAGCAGAATGTGTGCATTCAAAGTATATTTCTTTTAAATAATCATCTAGAGAAATAACGTATTTGTTCTAAAAATGCTGCTATTCAAAACAACTTTGGAGCTTGTTTTTATTCCCTCAGTGTATGAAACCTTATTTGAATTTATATTCTATAGTAATTAAAGCAAATATAAAGTTTCAAAATATTTAGATATACTCTTTCAAGGTGATAATACTGTTATGTTATGTGAGCTCTAGATATTTTTAAAAGTTATTTGTAGCAACTTTTTTTTTTTTTTTTTTGAGACAGAGTCTCGCTCTGTCATCCAAGCTGGAGTGCAGTGGTGCCATCTCAGCTCACTGCAACCTCTACCTCACAGGTTCAAGCAATTCTCCTGCCTCAGCCTCCTGAGTACCTGGGACTACAGGTGTGCGCCACCTGTATGGCCGGTCAATTTTTTATATTTTTAGTAGAGAGAGGGTTTCACCATGCTGGCCAGGCTAGTCTCGAACTCGTGACTTTGTGATCCACCCGCCTGGGCCTCCCAAAGTGCTGGGATTACAGGCATGAGCCACTTTGCCCAGCCTATTTGTAGTAACATCTTAAACATCAGTATACTTTTTCAGCAATGTTGAACTATGGGACTAAAGCAATGTTTCCATCCTTTTTTGAACAAAATAAATACAGGCATACCTTGTTTTATTGTGCTTCACAAATACTGCATTTTTTACAAATTGAAAGTTTGTGACAGCCCTGCATCAAGCAAGTCTATCATTTTCCCAACAGCTTTTGCTCATTTTGTGTCTTTGTGTCACATTTTTGTAATTCTTGCCGTATTTCAAACTTTTTCATTATTATCATTATATCTTTGATGTTACTGTTGTAATTGTTTTGAGGCACCACAGACTGCACTCATATAAGATGGGAAATTTAATTGATGAATGTGTGTGTTCTGATTGCTCCACTGACTGGTAGTTCCCCTATCTCTCTCCTCAGACCTTATTCCCTAAGACAAAATAATATTGAAATTAGGTCACTTACTGACTTACAGTGGCCTCTTAAGTAGTCAAGTGAAAGAAAGAGTTGCATGTCTCTCACCTGAAATCAAGATTAAGCTTGGTGATGAAGGCATATTGAAAGCTGAGACAGGCACAGAATTAAGCCTCTTGCACCAGTTATCCAAGTTGTGAATGCAAAGGAAAAATTCCTGAAGGAAATTAAAAGTGCTACCCCAGACCAGGTGCGGTGGCTCACGCCTGTAATCCCAGCATATTAGGAGGCTGAGGCGGGTGGATCACGAGGTCAGGAGTTCAAGACCAACCTGGCTAACATAGTGAAACCCCATCTCTACTAAAAATACAGAAACTTAGCCGGGTGTGGTGGTGTGCACCTGCAATCCCAGCTACTCAGGAGGTTGAGGCAGGAGAATCATGTAAACCCAGCAGGGAGTCGGAGGTTTCAGCGAGCCAAGATAGCACCATTGCACTCCAGCCTGAGTGACAGTGCAAGACTCCATCTCAGAAAAAAAAAGAAAAAAAAAAAGTTCTACTCCAGTGAACACACGTGATAAGAAAGCAAAACAGCCAGGTGCCTGTAGTCTCAGCAACTTGGGAGACTGAGACAGGAGAATTGCTTGAGGCCAGAAGTTTGAGACTAGCATGGACAACATAGTAAGAACCTGTCTCTAAAAAAAAAAGAAAGAAAGAAAGAAAAATTAGCTGGATGTGGTGGCACACACCTATAGTCCCAATCACATTGAGAAACTAAGGCAGAACAATCATTTGAGCCTAGGATTTCAAGGTTGCAGTGAGCTATGATCGTGCCTGGATTTGCACTCCAGCCTGGGCAATAGAGCAAGACCCCATCTCTTAGAAAAAAAAAGAAAGAAAGAAAGCAAAACAACCTTCTTGCTGATATGGAGAGAGCTTTAGTGGTCTGGATAGAAGATCAAACCAGCCACAACATTCTCTTTGGCCAAAGCCTAATCCAGAGCAAGGCCCTAACTCTCCTCAATTCCATGAAGACTGGGAGAGATAAGGAAGCCACAGAAGAAAAATTGTAGGCTAGCAGAGGTTGGTTCATAAGGTTTAAGGAAAGAAGCCACCTTCATAACATAAAAGTGGAAGGTAAAGCAGTAAGTGCTGATGTAGAAACTGCAGTACATTATCCAGGAGATGTAGCTAAGATCATTGATAAAGGTGGTAATACTAGACAGATTTTCAGTGTAGACAAAACAGTCTTCTATTGGAAGAAGATGCCATCTAGGACTCTCATAGCTAAAGAGAAGTCAGTACCTCACTTCAAAGCTTCAAAAGACTGGCTGACTCTCTTATCAGGAGCCAATGCAGCTGGTGACTTCAAGTTGAAGCCAGTGCTCATTTGCCATTCTGAAACTCCTAGGACCCTTAAGAATTATACTAAATCTATTCTATTTGTGTTCTATAAATGGAACAACAAAGCCTGGATGACTGCACATCTGTTTACAGCATGGTTTACTGTGAATATTTTAAGCCCATTGTTGAGACCTACTGGTCAGAAAAAAAAAAAAAAAAAATTCTTTCAAATATTACTACTCATTGACAATGCACCTAATTATCCAAGAGCTCTGATGTAGATGTATTATACAAAGAGATTCATGTTGTTTTCATGCCTGCTAACACAACATCCATTCTGCAGCCAATGTATCAAGAAGTCGTTTTGACTTTCAAGTCTTCTTATTTAAGAAAATTTTTAAGGCTGTAGCTGCCATAGATAATGATTCTTCTAATGGATCTGGGCAAAGTAAATTGAAAGCCTTCTAAAAAGTATTCATCGTTCATCATTCTAGATGCCATTCAGAACTTTTTTATTCTTGGAAGGAGTTAATGTCATGTTAATGTTAATGCCAACATTAACAGTTTTTGGAAGAAGTTGACTACATTCTTCATGGATGACTTTGAAAGGTTCAAGATTTCAGTGGAGGAAGTCACTGTAGATGTGGTAGAAATAGCAAGAGAAGTAGAATGACAAGGGGAGTCTGAAGATATGGCTGAATGGCTACAATCTCATGATAAACTTGAATGGATGAGGAGTTGCTTCTTATGGCGGAGCAAAGAAAGTGGTTTCTTGAGGTGGAGTCTACTTCTGGTGAAGCTATTTTGAACATTGTTGAAATGACAAGGAATTTAGAATATTTTGTAAACTTAGTCGATAAAGCAGTAGGGTTTGAGAGGACTGACTCCGGTTTTGAAAGAACTTCTACTATGGGTAAAATGCAACAGCATCACATGCTGCAGATAAATATTTTCATGGGCTAGGCACGGTGGCTTATACTTGTAATCCCAGCACTTTGTGAGGCTGAGTCAGGACGATCATTGAAGCCAGGAGTTCAAGACCAGCCTAGGCAATATAGTGAGACCTCAATCTTTATTTAAATAATAAAGGATTTTTAAAATATTTTTACAAGATCAAAAGAATATTTTCATGAAAGAGTCAATGGATGCAGCAAACTTCATTTTTGTCTTATTTTAAGAAATTGTCACAGCCACTCCAACATCTAGCAGTCACCACCCTGATCAGTCAGTAGCCATCAGTATCAAGGCAAGCCCCTCTACCAGCAAAATGATTACAATTTATTGAAAGCTCAGAAGAAGCATTAGCATTTTTTTTTAGGAATGAGGTGTTTATTAAGGTATGTACATCGTTTTTTAGACATAATGCTGTTGCACACTTAATAGGCTACAGAATATTGTAAACATAAATTTTACATGCACTGAGAAACCCCAGAATTTGTGTGACTCACTTTATTGCAATATTACCGTTATTGCAGCGGTCTGGAACCAAGTGCACAATATCTCAGAGGTACGCCTGTATTGATATGAAGTGAAGGTCTAGAAGCCTAAATATTAAGATTGTATGATTACTTTATTTTTAGAAGATACTCAATAAATATTGTGTTTGAAATGTATACTCCGCAGAAACTCTCGTTTCCTAGATTGAGGAAGACTAGGAATAGGGAGTAGAGAGTAAACTTCCTGCTGTGTTACTATTGTCATACCCATTAATGTCATTTCCTTGTATTAATTAAGGGTTCAGAATCTTGCTTTGTTAGAGTTTAAATGGCAAGATAAAAACAAGCACATGTGTTAATACAACATATTTTCAGTGAAGTAAATTTTTTTTTTAAAAATTACTTTGTAAAAGAAGTAAATACTACCTGAATCTGTTTCTCCTTCCATTCTCATTTATGTTGGCATTTTTATGAGGGCTTTTATGTTGAGTAATTGACATTTGAACTTTGAGAAGATTGTACCCAAACCTGCAGAAATTACAAAAGCATTTCTTTTTTTTCTTTTTTTTTTTTTTAATTATTAATATACTTTAAGTTCTAGGGTGTAAGATTAACAAAAATATTACACTTGAATCTTTAAAAGACAGTTTTTCAGGATCATTTTATGAAACATTGATAATGCAATGAAAGCGGGTTATTTAGGACTATGTGACATGACTATGTTTACATCTGAGACCAGAGGTTTTTTTCGCTAGTCACTGCTCTATCCCCAGCATGTAGCATCATAATGCCTTGCTCAACAGATAATTCAGGAATGAAAAAATTACTTGTGGATAGAGTGGATAAACAGTTATCTGATATGTACCATTTTATTTCTTCATGCACATATAAAATCCCTAATGTATTTAATAAAATTCTTTTTTATAGTTGGTGGCTAAAGGAGTTAAGAGTTCTGATGTTTCTCCACCTTTGGGACAGCATGAAACAGGTGGCTCTCCATCAAAGCAACAGATGAGATCGGTTATTTCTGTGACTTCAGCTTTGAAAGAAGTTGGCGTGGTAAGTTTCCTAAGATTCAGAACTCCTCAAAGTCAAAAGATTATTTAAAAGGAAGTTAAATTTAATGAAATCACATTAATCCTTATTGTCCCTTTCAGGTTTTTCTAGGGAAAAAAATTACTTTTTAAGAGATTTTAGTTTACTCAGAATACTGGAGCCTCATTGTTTATAAGTTTTATGTCTAAGACCACCTGGTAGATGAAAATATATTACAATAACTCTTATATCACTTTAAAAGAATATTGAAAAAATAAAATATACATAGAAATGTACTGAAAATAACATTACAAACATTTTTCTACCCAACCCTCATGATTAACAAATGTTCCCTTTTAAAAAAATAATGTCTCTTTAGTACTAAAGTAGTTCTAGAAATTAAGTCCAACACATGTTTACATTTATTCAAATTTTATGACATAGCAAATGTTAGAGGACTCAGTATAACTACAATTAATTCATCAGTTATTCCTTTTACCTTCTACTTTTGAATCTCTGTCATGCCATACAGATAGTAAAACAGAAACATAGACAAATGAAAAGCTTAAACTTAGAAGTATATTTCAGGTATCTGTCTGAAATGTGAAGACTCTGTTCAGGGGTTAAGAGAAATGGGCTCATAGCGTGGGGCTGCTGCCTAGAATTCAACAGACAGGAGGAGAAAAGTCTACTGAATCAGAAAACCTAGTAACTTCATTTTCCTCTTTCCTGGTAATGGATGTCTGTGCCTTTTATTTGTTGAGTTTCAGTAAATATTTGCAGACAAAATTGGTACACTAGTTGTTTTTTTTAACAGCCTTTGGGTTGATTTTGAAAATAAGACTAAGTAGGAAAATATAAGTTTCTTGATCATTCTCAAGAACTTCATGTAAGAAATGATTGTTCTTCAAGTAGGCTTAGTCACTTTTTCTTTCTGATAACGACTTTGCAAGTGCTACGTTGTTACTCCAACTTTAGATACCACTGTGTGGTCCCTTCTTCATACCCAGTCTCACATCTCAATAGCTGTTCATCTCTCTGGTTGTAGGACTGCTAATTCCTGACTACTTTACTGGGTAAAATGTTCTTTGTCTCATTGCTTCATATATTACTTTGAAACTGACTGCCAAATTTTTTATTTTTTTTAAGTATTACAAAATTTGAGGTAATCCATATAACTGAATGGTTTTCTTTCTGTGTTGTGTTGGTAAATGTCACTTACTTAAAACTTTGAAAATTGCTCTTACTTTGAACCTTCTACATGCCTTTGCTTTCATAGCTTTCATAACTGCTAATTTCTTCTTTTTGTATATTTTTAAATTTTAAATAGTCTAGATTGCTTTGACAATGCTAATTAGGATATTAAATTTATGTCATTTGTAGTACAAATGACTCAGAACTAATTTTTGTTACACTCTTTGTTTAGGGAGGAAAGCCACTTCTCAATTACATTTAGTACTATGGCTTAACAAGGATTTATATACATGAAACATAAAGACAGTTTTAAAATTACACAGCCTATTTTGAATTACTTCATCTATCAAAACTTTTTCTAGTTATAATTAAGAGAGTATATGAATTTTCCTCTTAATTCTACCACTGACTTAAATTACCAAAAAATCAAGTGCCAAACGGTCAGAGGATATACTTAATTATGTGAGCAGTAATCCAAAAATATGACAAATAATTGAGAATTGGCCCCTCTCTGTTGTCTAATTAATAATATTTAAAGGTTAATCATTGCTGATAATGAAGCTTTGTTAACATTTTATAGGAATAGAAAATTTACAAGGAACAAAGTAATGAAAAGCAAAAAGTAACAAGGATATCATATTTTTAAAGGTAGATTTAAAAAAATAAAATTGTTGCTTCCTCTGTATCTATCTGCATTTAAAGGACAGTAGTTTAACTGATATCCGGGAAATTTCAGAAGAAATGCAAAAGACCAACAATGCTATTTCAGTAAGTATAATTTTCGACATTTATTAGTCATTTTACTTAATGATATACATATTAAAATATTAAAATATACAATGTTACAACTTTCAGAGTAAGCGAGAAATACTTCGTAGATTAAATGAAAATCTTAAAGCTCAAGAAGATGAAAAAGGAAAGCAGCATCTCTCTGATACTTGTGAGATAAATGTTCTTGAAGATGCCAAAGAGCATGAAAAAGAAAAATCAGTTTCATCTGATCGCAAGAAGTGGGAGGCAGGAGGTCAACTTGTGATTCCTCTGGATGAGTTAACACTAGATACATCCTTCTCTACAACTGAAAGTATGTACAGAAGTATATTAATATCCTATTTCGGTCTAGTACATATATAAACTTGTAGACTAACCACTCTGAAAAAAAATGAACACTTAGAAGAACTGAGAGAAGCTGAAAGAATTCTATATATTTTCCTTTTGGGCAAGTAGAAGTGCCTCCCTCTCACAGGGAGATGTGAAGAACAGAGAAAACTTATCAAACTAATCAGCCTTAATGGCAAGGATTTTTATTACAAAAGTGTATAGTGTGAAAGAGGGAACTAATGATACATATTTAAATTGTATTACTTTAACTCTGTATACCATGTTAAATTAATCTGTTACTACAAATAATTCTTGATGAGAACCAGAGTAGTGTCTCAGAAACATCTCTTAGGCATTTAGTGAGAGTATTGAGAAAATCTGACTTAATGATTTATTGATTCAGTGATAATTACTAAGAATCTATATTTTCTTACATTATTCTAGGCATTGGAGATATAGAAACAAAACAGAAACGTGCTTTTGTTGAGCTTACATTCTAGAAGGACAAGTCTGACCATCAACAAATCTGATTTTAAGTAATTTTTTTCACAGACTGTTTTTGTAGAATTTTTTTCTTGCACTGGAAAAAAGCCCAAAGACTTGATAGCATTTACTTTGCTTATTTATTCAACAATTCTTTATTGGATACCTACCATATGCAATACACTCTGAAGCAGTGGATATATAATAATGTTTAGAATGTAGTCCCTCCCCTTAAGGAGCTTAAGGTCTAGTGGAAAGGCAGGCAAGTAAAGAGGTAATTGTAGTTGATAAATAATATGCTAGGAATAATCATAGACTACTGCAGGAATACATAAGAGACCATAAATCAGTCTTGGAAGAGCCCCCAAGATCCAATCACCTATCTCCCTCAACACAGGATTATAATTCGAGATGAGATTTGGGTGGGGACACTATCTGACTGCTTTTATGATTTGTCTTTATCATTGGTTTTGAGCAATATGATTGTAAAATGCCTTGGTATAGTTTTCTTCATGCTTCCGTCCTTGGGATTCATTGAGCTTCTTGTATATTTGGGTTTATGGTTGACACATTTGGAACACTTTCAGCCATCATTTCTTCTAATATTTTTTCCATGCCTCCTCCTTCTGTCCTTTAGGGACTCCAGTTTCACTTTTTGTCTCATACCTCAGTGGTGCTCTTTTCATTTTATGTTTTTAGATTCTTGTTGTGTTTCATTGTGGATAGTTTCTATTACTCTATCTTTAACAGATGATAGTCTTTTTTTCCTGCCATATCCAATCTGCTGTTAATCCTATTCAATGTACTTTTCATCTCAGATATTGTAGTTTTCACCTCCAGAAGTTTAAGGAGTTGTTTTTCTATCTGCCATGTCTCTGCTTAACTTTTTTGATCATATGGAATACAGTTGTAAAAACTTTATTAATGTCTTTACTTATTCTAACATCTGTGTCAGATGTTAGAATTTTATTGGGTCCATTTTATTGATTGCCTTTTCTCCTTGTTACAGGTCATATTCTTCTGCTTCTTTGCATGCTTGGCTATTTTTAATTGGATGTAGGATATTTTGCACTTTTCCTTGTTGGGTACTAGGTATTTTTGTATTTTTGTAATTATTCTGGAGATTTATTCTGGAATGCAGTTAAGTTTTAATACTTGGGCTCAGTTTGATTCATTCATGTCTTATTTTTAATATTTGTGAGATGAGATCAGAGCCATGTTTAGTCTAATGCTAATTATCCCCATTTAGGAGATAAGACACTTCTAAGTGCTCTACACAAGGAATGATGAGGTTTTCCAGTTTGGCTGGTAGGAATAGACACTATTTCATGTCTTGTGTTCTCTGTAATCTTTTTGGGTGCTTTTTTTCCTAACTTGGGAAATGAAGGCAGAAATAAAGATACTCTTTGAAACCAATGAGAACAAAGACACAAGGTACCAGAATCTCTGGGACATGGCTAAAGCAGTGTTTAGAGGGAAATTTATAGTACTAAATGCCCACAGAAGAAAGTGGGAAAGATCTAAAATTGACACACTAACATCACAATTAAAAGAACTAGAGAAGCAAGAGCAAACAAATTCAAAAACTAGCAGAAGACAAGAAATAACTAAGATCAGAGCAGAACTGAAAGAAGATAGAGACTTGAAAAGCCCTTCAAAAAAAAAATATCAATCCAGGAGCTGGTTTTTTGAAAAGATTAACAAAATGGATAGATGGCTAGCCAGACTAATAAAGAAGAAAAGAAGAATCAAATAGACACAATAAAAAATGATAAAGGGGATATCACCACTGATCCCACAGAAATACAGACTACCATCAGAGAATACTATGAACACGCCTATGCAAATAAACTAGTAAATCTAAAAGAAATAGAAATAGTTACATTCCTGGACATATACACCCTCCCATGACTAAACCAGGAAGAAGTCGAATCCTTGAAAATAGACCAATAACAAGTTCTGAAATTCAGGCAGTAATTAATAGCCTACCAACCAAAAAAAACCCAGGACCAGACGGATTCACAGCCGAATACTGCCAGAGGTACAGAGGAGCTGGTACCATTCCTTCTGAAACTATTCCAAACATTAGAAAAAGAGGGACTCCTCCCTAACTCATTTTATAAGGCCAGCATCATCCTGATACCAAAACCATCAATTGGTTTGTCATTGTGTCATGCCATTCAGAGTAAATTGCAGACACTGGTATACCTTGCCCTAAGTATTTCACAGCATGTAATTATTTATTAGAGTTCAATGTTTGTTTTTTCCTTTGTGTTAAATTTACATGCAATGAAATGCACACATTGCAAATGTATATTTGCTGGGTTTTAACAAATGCTTGGAGCTGCAAAATAAGCCATCGAGACGGGCGGATCACAAGGTCAGGAGATCGAGACCATCCTGGCTAACCCGGTGAAACCCCGTCTCTACTAAAAAAATACAAAAAACTAGCCAGGCGAGGTGGCGGGCGCCTGTAGTCCCAGCTACTCGGGAGGCTGAGGCAGGAGAATGGCGTAAACCCGGGAGGCGGAGCTTGTAGTGAGCCGAGTTCGTGCCACTGCACTCCAGCCTGGGGACAGAGCGAGACTCCGTATCAAAAAAAAATAAAAATAAAAAAATAAGCCATCAAGATATAGAACATTAACATCATCCCAGAAAGTTTGCCCCTTCCTAGTCATTATCTGGTCTTATCCTCCCAGAGGCAACTTTTTCTGAATTTCTTTTCTACCTTAGATTAAATGTTCCTGTTTTAGAATATCATATAAACAGACTCTTAACAGTTTGTATTCTTTTGTGTCTGGCTTCTTTCACTCAAGCATAATGATGTTTTTCCCCTAATATCTCACCTCTGGCTGAAAGCATAATGATTTTTGAGATTCATCTGTGTTGTAATTATTAATAGCCTTTTCCTTTTTAAAAAATCTTTGCTTTATTAAAAGTTTTCTTTGTTTGATATTGATATAGTTACTCCCACTTCGTTTTGCTCAGCGTTAGCCTGGTATATCTTTATCCTTTTCTCCCTCTTAATCTATATGTGTCTTTATATTTAATGTGGGTTTCTTGTGGGCAGAATATTGTTAAATTCATTTTTTAATGCACTCTTATAACCTTAACTGGTATGTTTAGATCATTTACATTTAATGTGATTATTAATGTGATTGGATTTAAATCCAGATGCTCCTCAATTTACAATGGGATTACAATCTAATACACCCATTGTAAAGTTGTAAAATCTTAAGTTGAACCATCATAAGTCAGGGACTGCCTGTGTACCATTTTTCTATTTGTTTTTTGTTTGCCTCATCTATGCTTTCTTTCCTTTTTCCTCCTGTTTTGCATTATTTGGAGTTAGTTATTTTTTATTATTCCATTTACCTCTGTTGTTGAATTATTAGCTATAGCTCATTGTTATTTCAGTGTTTGCTTCAGAGTTTATAGTGTATTATCTTAGCACAGCCTATCTTCAATTGAGTTATACTTCATATATGGTATAAGAATATTATAATATTATATAGTTGACCCTTGAATAGTATGGGGGTTAGGCGGTATTGAACCCCCCCTGTAGTCAAAAATCCACGTGTAACTCTTAACTCCCCCAAAATGTAACTAGTAATAGCCTACTGTTGACCAGAAGCCTTATCAATAACATAAAGCCAATTAACACATATTTTACATGTTATATGTATTATATACTATATTCTTATAACAAAGGAAGCAAGAGAAAAGAAAATGTTACTAAAGGAATAAGAACAAGAAAATATATTTACTATTTATTAAGTGGAAATGGATCATCATAAAATCCTTCATCGGCATCATCTTCACATTGAGTAGGCTGAAGAGGAGGAAGTGGAGAGTTGGTCTTGGTGTCTGAGGGGTGGCATAGATGGAAGAAAATTTGTTTATAAGTGAACCCGGCATTTCAAAACTTTGTTCGAGGGTCACCTGTACTTACATTTGTTCCCTCCCAACCTTTGGTGCTATTTTTTTAATGCTATAAATCCCATAATACAGCATAGTCATTTATTCTTTAAAATTATTTAAATAATAAGAAAAAACTATTTTGTGTCTACCCATGTCGTTTTCATTTCTTTTGTGTAGAAGGTATCTATTTTGTATCATTTTTCTTCTGCCTAAAGGACTTCCTTTGAGATTTTTTGTAGTACAGTCCTGCTGGTGATTCTTTCAACATTTGTATGTCTGTAAAAGTTTTTATTTTATTTAGCCTTCCTTTTGCAAAGATATTTTTTCTGAGACATAGAATTCTGAATTGAAATGTTTTTCTTTTGGTGCTTTAATGATGCTGCTCCACTGGCATCTTATGCACATTACTTGTGATGAGAAGTCTTCTGTTACCCTCATTTTTAGTTTTATTCCTCTATTCCTCTGTGTCTTTTTTCTCTGACTCTTTCTCAGATTTTTCCCTGTAGACTTGGTTTCAGTGAATTTGATTATAATGTGCCTTAATGTCACTTTCATCATGTTTCTTTTGCTTGGGTTTTGTTGAGCATCTTGGATTTATGAATTTATAGTTTTCATCAAACTTGAAAAACTCGTGGCCATTATTTCTTCTATTTTGTTTTTCTGTGTCCAGTGTGAATGGACGAGTTCAATGGACAGGTTCATTTATATGAACTTCATTTGGACAAGTTCAATATGGATCTTATTAATGTTTTCTTTACCTCTATCATGGTCAGTCTTCTCTCTAGCTTGTTTAACATATGGAATACAGTTATAAATGTCATTGTCTACTAGTTACATTATCTCTGTAATTATGGGGTTGGATTGGATTCAGTGATTTTTTTTCCTCCTTTTTTTATAGTTAATATTCTGTTTCTGTGCATGCTTGATAATTTTTTGGGGGTGGCCAAACGTTGTGAATTTTAATATTTGTGCTATGTATTTTTGTATTTCTATAAATATTCTTGACCTTTATTCTTGGACACAATTTAGTTACCTGTGCATAGCTTGGCTCTTTCAAGTCTTGCTTTTAAGCTTTGTTAGCTGGAACAGAGCAGCAATCTATATTATTAGTATTACTATGCATTAGCGTATGGCTAATCTTTTACCTTTTCTGCATCAACAACCTTTCTGAATAATCTGCCTTGTACCTTGTGAATTATAAATCAATTTTTTTTGGCTTATGGGAATAGGAACTCTTTCTGGCGCTGTGTGAACTCGAAGTATTGTTACCTCTGCTTCTTTTGAGTAGTCTTTTCTCTAAACTTTCTCTAAAATTTCTTTACACATTATGTACTGATATGCTGATCAGTACTCAGGTCTTAGACTCAAAGGGGCTTTTTACAATTTTCCTGAGTTCTCTCTCTGTAAAACTTACTACTCTTCAGTACTCTTATCTTGCAAACACTAGCCACTTTGGCCTCCCTAGACTCCCACTTCCACCTCCTCCTCAGCTCAGAGAGACCATTGACTCCACCTCTGTTTTCGCTGCCTGCATTGAAGGGGTTAAATTCCAGTGGAGGGGTGGACAGGAGGGTTTCTCTTATGGACATTCAGTTATCCCAGTTTTGTTTGTTAGAACTTTTCCCCCTTTTCAGTTGCTTTGGCACATTTGTCAAACATCAGTGATTGTAAGTTATGGGTCTATATCTGCGTTCTCTACTCTATTTTCACCATCCTTTCAGAAATTCCTCTTGGTAATCATTTTGGCTGTACAAAACTAATTATTATCTGCTGATTTGCATGTACTTTCATGGAACTGGTACATTAACTTTATCAAAATGTATTAGGTTACCATTGAATGTCTATATACCTTATGCCTCATAATATATAATATTATATTCTGTATGTTACAACTAGGTACCTATATACTTCATATATTATTACCAAATATTCTAAATACTCGAACTTCAATATGTAATTTTTATATTTTGCTTTGATACATTTTATTAAAATGGTTTACCCCAAATTATTATTGTCAATAGGGAAGTAGCAGTTATTTGCCTACTTATGATAAATAAAGCAGGACAAATTTTCTTAGAAATGCTTTTCTCTATTTTTTAAACCATATGTCTGTTTGTTTTAAGATTTGTTTTCTTTTTTTTGTTAAATGTATAGAAATGAAATACTGATTTCTGTTTCTTCTATTTTTATATTCCCCCCAATTGTTATTCACTTATCTTAGTTTTTTCTATTTTTTCACATAAAGATTTTATAGAAACATAATACAGGTTGAGCATTCCTAATCCAAAATCTGAAATCCAAAATGCCCCCAAATCTGAAACTTTTGAGTACCAGTGTGACACCCCCACATGTGACCCCATGTGATGTGTCAAAATCAAAGTGCAGGTACACAACACATGGTTTATTTAGCATCCCCAAGGACAAAAAGACTCTCCAGCCATTTAAAAAGGCAATATGATAGAATACCTTCTCATTCCTTCAGATCCCTTTCTGATCCCTCAGCTGCTTCTAATATTTCTTTTTGCCAGTAAAATGAAAGACAGTATAGAGTAACCTTTTAATCAAAATCCAGTTTCATGGGTGGAGACTAAAAGCCTGCTGTTTCTTAACAGCTCACAGGTATTCTGGTGATAATACTGTGCTGCTTAGTTATCTTAAACACAGTTTTTCACCAAAATGTATGTCTCTATTTTTTTAACTATGAAGTATTTCTGTATGAACAAGTGTAAGAAAATGTTTGCTTATTAGCAGCATATAAACTCACAGTCAGGAATGATGGTGATGCTAGACAACCACAGAGGGCCCACATGGGTGACCAGTTCAGTGACACTCTTGCTTTCTGATGGTTCTGTGTATACAAACTTTGTTTTATTCACAAAATTATTTAAAGTATTATATAAAATTACCTCTAGTCTATGTGTATAAGATGGATGTAAAACATAAATGAGGCCAGGTATGGTGGTTCACACCTATAATCCCAGCACTTTGGGAAGCCAAGGTGGGAGGATCACTTGAGCCCAGGAGTCCAAGACTAGCCTGGGCAACATAGTGAGACTCTATCTCTTAAAAAACAAACAAATGAATTTCATGTTTAGACTTTGGTCCCATCAACAAGATATCTCATTATGTATATGCACATATTTCAAAGTCTGAAAAAAATTCAGAATTTAAAACACTTCTGGTCCAAAGCATTTCAGGTAAGAGATACTCAGCCTGTATTAATTTATGGTTTTTTCCTATTTTTATATTCCCCAAAACTAGAATTTAATTCATATTCTAAAAGGCAATTACAGATATATTTTTATTGCTAGTTTCATTTGCTTCTGTTCTCGCCATTATTCATCATTCTTTCACTGAAAGTCTTTGTGATGTAAACTTTTTTTCTCATGAACCACTCAATTGGATAAGAGACCCAAAATCTGCCTTACCATGCAGTATTATTATACTGTTACTGAAAATTGTTTCTTTGTATCTTTTTCTTATAGGACATACAGTGGGAGAAGTTATTAAATTAGATCCTAATGGATCTCCAAGAAGAGCCTGGGGGAAAAGTCCGACAGATTCTGTTCTAAAGATACTTGGAGAAGCTGAACTACAACTTCAGACAGAACTATTAGAAAATACATCTATTAGAAGTGGTAAGGAGAAACTAGTAGTTTTTCTACACTAGAAATAATATTATTAAAAATCTAATTATATGTTTTAAGATGTTTCCATTTTAAGTGAATTATTTTTAATTATCTTTCCATTATAATGATTTTTTAATTAGATTGAGAATGATTGTATTTTCTAGGGGTACTGTCCAAATGGTGGTCTTGAGTTTTGACCTGATAGACCTGGATGGGATCTAAAAGGAAGAGGAAGTATTTTTGGGTGGAGTTGGAAAAGTCAGAATGATGTTTTACATGAAAACAGATATAGGAGAAATGCATTGAGATTAAGTATATCTGTTTTGATATGGATTCAAGAATTAGATTGACTAAAAGGTATTTCAGTAGGTGTGACAGACATTATTAATTATAGGACTGGGGAAGGAGAGTTGTCATGAGGCAGGAGGAAATATTCCTGATCCATCAGTTTTTGTGGCCTTTGGTATTACAGCTATGCATCAAGAAGAGTGTCTATGTATGAAACAGATGTTTTCAGATTAAACAGCTTGTTTAAATGTTGAGGAAGTGGAGTGTACTTTTCCTCTTTTTAGAAGTTGTGTCTAGGCAGGGATGTGTGTTGCACTTTTGTGCTCTCTTTCCTTCTCTGTCTCTCTCACTCTTGTTGTCTGTCTCCCCTGAAAAAGCTTCGAGTGAACCTCATATCCAGAGCTGGTGGAAAAATAACCTAGGAGATGACACTGTTGATATGTTCAATAATGGAATTAGCCAGATGCTGAGAATTAGCCAGTGAAATGAACCTATACACGTGTTACTGAAGTGGCAAAAGTAGGCTGCTAATAATTCTGTTATTTTCTTTAATATTAAAGGGAGAAAACAATTTGAATTGAGAAATACATACAGTCATCTGCAAAAAAGGCAAAAAGTGTGTATGTTTGTAATTAATTTGTTCACACTCTCGTATAAGGAAATTGTGCAGTTGTATGCCAAATACTAATTAAAAATACTAGTAACTTACTCTGAGCCTGTTTTCAAAATGTTCCAGGCTTTATTCAAGACAAAAATGCCTTCAGGCTCTAACATTTTTTAAAATAATTATAATAATTTTACCCTGCAGTGCAAAAACCTCTGGAAAAAAATGAGAAAAAAAAATTCAGATTTTTTTGTAGTCTAAAAGTTCTATAATACACTGATGCTCATTAACATTATTACTTTTAAAATATTAGATTCTGATTCCTCTGATGTAAAATTCTGTTGCTTAAATATATGCAATTTGGTATACAGTAATACTTAAACCACATAAAAATTGGGCTTTTATTCTTCATATTCATCATAGTCCATCTGCACAGAAGTGGAACAGAGAAATAACTTATTTTATGATTTCTATTTATTCAATCACCATTTTTTGAACACTTCTTAGTTGTGTTCACTATTTTATGTTAGATGGTAAGCTATAAAGGGAAAAAAAAGATCATTCTTGCTCTCAGAGGACAGACAAAAATGAAAACAAATAATAACATTGCGTGAAAAGGACAAGAATAAAAAGTACCCACAAAGTTCAGAATTAATGCAGAGATATTTAAGTAATTAACTTTATCTTGTGTAGTCAAGAAAGATATCCCAGACTTGTTGTCTGCCCTCTTCTTTTTCTCCCAAATACATTTACTGGGAAGAATATGCTCTGTATTGGGATTTTAAGCCAAAGAAGTGACAGTTTTTACCATCATCGAAAGCACATGTGGCAAAATCTGTGTTACAGATGTTGTATGTGAAATGCTCTGGGGCCACAGCTGAGGTGGCTTTACTTTATCAGTACTATATGCCTTTATTAGTGATAATACATATGGCCCTTTTGGGTAAGGGAAAGCCACAAGACAATAAGCGATTTTGGGGCCACAGATGAGGTGGCTTTTCTTTATCAGTACCATACGATTTTATTGATGACAATATATATGGCCCTTTTGGATAAGGGAAAGCCACAGGGAGTAAGTGATTTTTGGGTATATCAAAGTTTTTTTTTTTCAAATAAATCATTAAGTAGATAATGGGGAGAACGAAATTCCAGGCAATATGCTATTCTAGTATATGCAGAGACAAGGGTTTAGCTCGTGTATGTGGGGGTAGCTTCATGTGGAAAGAGAATGGGCTTTGTTTCCAATCCTGGCTTCATTACTTGCTCAGCAACCATGGATAAGTTCCTCTGACTGTGGCATTCATTTCCTCCATGTGTAGAATGGAAACACTACTATCAAGGCTTGTTTTGTGTATTAAATGAGAAACATAAAAGATCCTTGGTGTTCTTTATTTTAGTCTTCCAATTCTTATGTCAGTGTCTCTTTAGTCATTCTGATTGCTTGAAACTCTTTTTGTAGTAGATTCCTTAGGAAGAACTTGTGTGAACATTACACTCATAGATTTTCCATTTTCATAACAGTTTGTCTTATGACTGTATTTGTGAGGGTTGATTTGGCCACACATAAAATCCTTGGCTTACTGTTTTTCCTTGACTGTCTTTAATATATAATTTAATTATGTTCTGGCATAAAACATTGCTGCAGAAAGTCTGATGGCAGTTTTATTTTCTTTACCTTGTAAGTGATTTGGTCTTTTTGCTTGGATGCTCAAAGTGTATCTTTCTTTTTACTTAAAGTCCAGTCATTTTCTTAAAATGTATTTTGGCATTGAGTGTATTTTTCTAGTACAGTACATAATGTGTCTTTTTTTTTTTTTTTTTTTTAATAGACCTTTTCTTAGAGGAGTTTTGGATTCATAGTGATGTGGTTTGGCTCTTTATCCCCATCCAAATCTCATCTTGTACCTCCCATGATTCCCACGTGTTGTGAGAGGAACCTGGTGGGAGATGCCTGAATTAGGGGGGCAGGTCTTTCCCATGCTATTCTCATGATAGTGAATGGATCTCAGTGAGATCTGATGGTTTTTTAAAAATGAGAGGTTCTCTGCACAGGGTCTCTTTTTTTTTTTTTCTTTTTTTGCCTGCCACCATCCATGTAAGATGTGACTTGCTCCTCCTTGCCTTCTGCCATGATTGAGAGGCCTCCCTAGCCATGTAGAACTGTGAGTTCAGTTGTACCTCTTTCTTTTATAAATTTCCCAGCCTCAGGCATGTCTTTATCAACAGCATGAAAACGGACTAATACACATAGCAAAATTGAGTGAAAAGTACAGAGAGTTCCTGTATATGCCCTTCCCCCGTACACACACAGCCTCCCCCACCATCAGTAGCCCACACTAGAGAGGTACATTTGTTTTAATCAATAGACCAATATTGACACATCATTATCACCAAGGTGTATAGTTTATATTAAAATTTACTCTTGGTGCTTTAATTTTTCTGGGTTTTGACAAATGTATAATGCTATGTAACCACCATTATTACACAATAATTTGCTGCCCCAAGAATCCCCTGTGCTCTACATATATATATATATTTTTTGAGATGTATATATATTTTTTTTTGAGATGTAGTCTCACTCTGTCACCCAGGCTGGAGTGCAGTGGCGTGATCTCTGCTCACTGCAAGCTCCGCCTCCCAGGTTCTCGCCATTCTCCTGCCTCAGCCTCCTAAGTAACTGGGACTACAGGCGCCTGCCACCACGCCCGGCTAATTTTTTTTTTTTTTATATTTTTAGTAGAGACGGGGTTTCACCATGTTAGCCAGGATGGTCTCAATCTCCTGACCTCGTGATCCGCCCACCTCAGCCTCCCCAAGTCCTGGGATTACAGGCTTGAGCCACTGCGCCCGGCCTCTGCTTATATTATATCTCCCTTTCTTCCAAACCCTGGCAACCACTGATTATTTTACTATCTCCATAGTTTTGTCTTTTCCAGACTGTCATCTAAATAGACTCATACAGTATATACTCTTCTCGGATTGGATGGTTTCATTTAGTAATATACACTTAAGATTCCTCTGTAATCTTTTTGTGTCTCAATAACTCATTACTTTTTAGCGCATAATATTACATTGTATGGATATGCTACAGTTTATTTATTCACTTTCAAGATGTACTGAAAGACATCGTGATTGCTTCCAAGTGATAGCAATTATGAATAAAGATGATATAAACATCTATAAGCAGGTTTTTGTGTGGACATAAGTTTTCAGTTCATTTGGGTGAATACAGAGGAATACAGTTGCTGGATTGTCTAGTAAGAGTACATTTAGTGTTGTAACAAACCACCAGTCTCCCAAAGTATCTGTACCATTTTGCAGTGAATGAATGAGAGTTCCTGTTACTCCACGTCCTCTCCAGCATTTGGTTTTATCAGTGTTTTGGATTTTAGTTATTTTAATTGCTGTGTAGTGGTATCTTGTTGTTGTTGTTATTTGCAATCTCCAAATGACATACGATGTTGAACCTCTTTTCATATGCTTCCTACTGTATGCTGCTTTGCCACCTGTATACCTTAGTGAGTTGCCTGTTGAGATCTTTCACCGATTTTTAAATTGGGTACTTTACTTTCTTATTGTTGAGTTTAAGAATTCTTTGTTTATTTTGGTTAATGGTCCTTTATCAAATATGTCTTTTGCAAATACGGATTGAGTATCTCTGAAATGCTTGGGATCAGAACTGTTTTGGATTGGGTTTTTATCAGATTTTGGACTATTTGCATTATACCAGTTGAGTATCTTTAATCCGAAAATCCAAAATCTGAAATGCTCCAATGAACATTCCTTTGGGCATCATAACAATGTTCCAAAGGTTCGTATTTTGGAGCATTTTGGATTAGAGATAGTCAGCCTATATTTTCTCCTAGTCTGTGGCTTGTCTTCATGTTCTCTTGATATTGTCTTTTTTTTTTTTTTTTTTCTGAGTTGGGTTCTCACTGTCTTGCCCAGGCTGGAGTGCAGTGTTGCAACATGGCTCACTGCAGCCTCAACCTCCCTGGGCCCAGGTGATCCTTCCACCTTAACCTCCTGAATAACTAGGACTACAGGTATGCACCACCATGCCTGGCTAATTTTTGTATTTTTAGTAGAGACAGGGCTTGCCCATGTGATCCTCCCA